TATAACTAAAACAGATCAGGCCTTTTCTCTGGACCAGTAAATCAATTTAGTTATGGACCAGTACACTCACTGGCCACTTTATCAGGTACACCTGTCCAACTGCTGGTTAACACTAATGTCTGATCAGCCAATCACAGGGCAGCAGCTCACTGCATTAGCCATGTAGACATGATCAAGAGGATCTGCTGCAGGTCAGAGCGAGCATCAGAATGGGGAAGAAAGGGGATGTAAGAGACTTGGTTATTGGTGCCAGACGGCCGCTCCTGTCAGCTAAGAACAGGAAACTGAGGCTACAATTCACACAGACTCACCAAAACTGGACAATAAAAGATTGGAGAAACGTTGCTGCTCTGATGAGTCTCCATTTCTGCTGACACATTCAGATGCTCGGCTCAGACAACATGAAAGCATGGATCATCCTGCCTTGTATCAGCGGTTCAGGCTGGTGGTGGTGGTGTAATAGTGTGGGGGAGATTTTCTTTGGGTCCATTAGTACCAATTGAGCATCAACGCCACAGCCTACCTGAGTATTGCTGCTGACCATGTCCATCCCTTTATGAGCACAGTGTCTCCATCTTCTGATGGCTACTTCCAGCAGGATAACGCAGCATGTCATAAAGCTCAATCATCTCAGACTGGTGTCTTGAACATGACGATGAGTTCACTGTACTCAAATGGCCTCCACAGTCACCAGAGCTCAATCCAATAGAGCAGCTTTGGGATGTGGTGGAACGGGAGATTGGCATCATGGATGTGCAGCCGACAAATCTGCAGCAACTGTGTGATGCTATCATGACAATATGGAGCAAAATCTCTGAGGAATATTTCCAGCAGCTTGCTGAATCTCTGACATTAAAGCAGTTCTGAAGACTAAGGGGGTCCGACCCGGTACAAGTCAGGTATACCTAATAAAGTGGCCGCTGAGTGTATAGTCACCCCTAATTAACCTGTCATGTGGTTGTGAACTCTTGATTTAAAGAGACAGTTTACCCAAAATTAAAACTCTTTTATTTACTGATCATCCAAAGTTCTTTAAGTGTCATTATGTTGAACACAAAGGAGGATATTTTGAGGAATGTTAGACTCCTGTAGCCATTGATCTCCATAGTGTTGTTCCTCCTGCTATGGAAATCAATGGTTACCGGTTTCCAACTCTCCTTAAAATATCTTCAGTTGTGTTCAACAGAGTAAAAGGTTCAGGCGGCGGTGAAACTCACCGATACACACGCGCATCATGCTGTCCGGCTGAAGGGAATCCCAGCATGCCACACACCACACGACTGCTGCTCGCGTCCCAGCCCAGACTACAAACATGCCTCCATTTCCCAGCATGCTTCACTTCCACCACACCTTCTGTTACCATGGTGACGCTGTGTGTGCTGGACAACACGGGCCGCAGACGCACCTCCTCCAGGCGGACCGACACGGCAGACTGAAGACAGAAACAGCATGTTAATAGTGTGTGTGTGTGTGTGTGTGTGTGTGTGTGTGTGTGTGTGTGTGTGCGTGCGTGCGTTTGTGTGTGTGTGTGTCCTAGTAGATTTTGAGCTTCATCATTCAAAGATGTGAATTAGATTAAGGCACAAAACTGGAATATTGCATAAAACATTAGTAAATAAGGGCGGCACAGTGGCTCAGTGGTTAGCATTGTGACCTCACAGTAAGAAGGTTTGAGTCTCGGCTGGGTCAGTTGGTGTTTCTGTGTGGAGTTTGCATGTTCTCCCCGTGTTGGTGTGGGTTTCCTCCGGGTGCTCCGGTTTCCCCCACAGTCCAAACACATGCGCTATAGGGGAACTGATCAACTACACTGGCCGTAGTGTATGAGTGTGAATGAGTGTGTGTGGGTGTTTCCCAGTACTGGGTTGCAGCTGGAGGGGCATCCGCTGTGTAAAACATATGCTGGAATAGTTGGTGCGAGCTCTGCAATAGAGACTAAGCTAAGGGAAAAAGAAAAGATGTTGTCATCTCCGCTGTTTATCTGAGAGGGGTCTGGCTGCAGACATGGTGCAGATGCAATCTGAGCTGCATCCTATGCTTATTAACCCCACCCCTCACAGTGATGTCACTCGCTCCATTTGAGTGCATTGTGTCTGACGTTGCATCGCTGAGTGATGCAGTCTCAGCTCGCATCATAAAGGCTGCAGCCAGACACTATTGTGGTCTCTCCATGAAAGTGTAAATGCAATATAATGTCAAGCGCAGGCGGATGTAAACACACCGCTCGTGACACTCCTGTCATGTGATCTCCTGAGCCGGCTCTTTCTGAAGCTGCTGTTGTCGGAGTGTCTGTGGTCTGATACTGGAGCGCAGTGATAGTCTGTGTTTGTGGCCACGGCTTTACATCGGCCTGTAATCCGGCTCTCAGACAGGAAAACTCAAACAGCCAATCAGGATCCTCCAGAGACGGCTGTCAATCATCAGACGACTCTGAGCGCTGCGGTTCACAGTGTTTACACTGAAGGTCTGACAGTACCATCACTGCAGACGGGTTACAGAGGGTTCAGATGGGGTTAGCAGTTCAGACCAATCTGCAGCACCTACTGATTAATCCTATTAATAGCCGGAATATTCCACTGAGAGCTTGTGGGGTATGAGGGGATATATCATTACAGCAGGAGAACAGCGTCAGCCGTGGTGGATTACAGCATTCTGTGTATTCTCCATATTGTCCTGTTTCAGTCTAAATCTCTGAAAATCCTTAACTCAGTCAGCGTTTACTAGACCAGCACAACACATCGCCTGTTTTCAGAAATAATGAAGAATGAAGAGATAATAATGCAGAGTGTTTCAGCACAATTCTCTTGTTTTGGCTTTGATATCGGGTTATTCTGCTCAGCCCATCGGCAGATTAGATGCTTGTTTTAAGAAAAAACTCGCTTAGTTTAGACTCATTATTTCTGAACACAAGACCATATTGTTTACTAGTCTAGAGATCGCTCACTGATTTACTTTTATTGTGACATATTTGGAGGAGAAGAGCTTTTGTCTCAGTGTGTGGA